AACCTGGGGACACAAATTTTCTTCATAAAAATTATACAAAAAAATTATTTTTCATCATTCTTTTCTATATATGGTATTAATATACACAAACTGAATAACAAAAATTGTAAATATTATTTTTTTTTCAATTTTATTTCAACTGAAAATAACTATTAAATTTTTATAAATTGGCTCGGGACACAGGTTTTTGCTAAACCTTTGACATTGAAAATATTTTTTAAGTTATTTTCAGATAATTAATTATTTTTTTTTTATAATATAGTTACGTAGAATCGATAATAATTTATAAAAACGCAGAGTTTTTTCTATTTTCTTTTTGAAGAAACAAAATATAAAATAGTAAAGTCTGGGGACACCAATTGGTCATGTTTTTTAAGAACGACCCATATATATGACAATATTCTTCAAAAATGTCTCCCTATCTGAAATGCCTACATACGATTAACTTGTCCCTACAAATTAACATTTTCTTTGTTTTTTTTTTGGGCTCAACCATTCCCTTGCGCATGTTGCACGCAGCTATAAACGCATGTTGCCCACAATAGCCAGCAACACGCTCCAACACGCATTTTCGTGTTTGCACGCTTGACCTCACACACAAGTTGCTCCAAAACGAAAGGAATTGTCTGCTGTTGCTTGTTGCCCACCGTTGCCCGTTAGCTGGCTTGGCTGCTGTCATTTGCATATTACCTGCCACAAATTACTGACTGCTCTATATAAACTCTATATTTGTTTGTATGCGTATGTGTATGTGCGACCATTACCCATACATTTCAATTGTATGGCAGAAAATTGAAATGTTCCATAATTTTGCCAGCGGACAGACACTTAAAAGTGGAGAGAAGAAAAAAACTTACCAAAAGCGTTTAAAAAATGCGTGACAACATAAACCAGCACTTAATTACGACAACAAAAAAGGCTTTGACAACCAATTGGATTTTGTATGTTTACATGCAAATAAATAAGTTTATTCCAAATGCATAAGTACTTATGTATGTATATATGTATATATGTAGATGCAAATATGTATGTGCGTATATACGAGTATGTAATATTTTAAATGAATGCATGTTTTTGCATTGCATACATACATATCTCTGATGTCCGTTTGCTGTGTAGACAAGCGTATTTGAAAGAGGACATGCAAACACGGTTTTAAATGAAGCCCTCAGGATAAATGTTTCTTAGGAAATGGACAAGAAACGAGTATGGAAACTATTCAAACTCTTAGCTCTTTAAAGAAATAACTATGCGGAGGGGGTTGGAGGAACATTCCTGTTTCTATGCCACGGAACGGTGTAGATTGCGTATCATTCCCGTGACTGCGCCGAACAATCAGTGCCGTCAAGTTATTTCAAATCAGTGGATTTCGAATGACCGTTGGATGTGTAATTATGTTTCAAACACGTTTACGTTCTTAAGGATGTGTCCCTCAAACTGATGTTGGCGAAAAAAAACCTCAAAATGCATTACTAAGAAACTCAAAAGCGCATCGGTTAGGTTAGGCTAACAAAGAGGGTATCTCTCTCGGAGGTCCCATAGGCATATCGTGCAGCTACAAAGCTACATTCTTTCTATGGAGAAAATGAGTGACACCGCCAGCAAACACAAATTATCAAAAACCAACGGCATTTCTGAGTAGCTCTTAAGGCATGCCGAACCCCCACCCACCGGACCAAAGCGCCAAAGGTGAGAATAGATATCGCTATATATAATCTGTGGATATAGCCCACACTCTTTACTCTTGTAGGAGTAGAGAGCATTGAGTGCTTTCTCAGAGCAGATAATAAGCCCCAAAATTTTGCAACTTTTAATAAATTCCATAAGGGAGGAGATAGAACCTCACCCTGACCCTGAGGGGTGAATAATGTCGCCGTAATGAGCCGTTAATGATTTAGTGGTTAGTGGTCTGTGGACTCAGAAGTCTTTCCAAAATCACATTTATTTGGTATATATGTACATAAGTAAATATGAAGCATACTAGCTCAGTAAATTGTCGTGAACATGGAGTTGTTGTAACAATCGTTCGTCGGAGCATAGCTGTTAAGATTTCGTCTGGACGAAAGCGAACACTAATGCGAAGCCAAATACGAGAGAAGAATATGAAACGAGGACAATATTTTTCGTGCCTTCGCAGCAGATAATAAATACTGCACATTTCTATAGTCGCTACTAGGGATATTAATTCCATAATTTGTACAATAACATGAAAAAAATAACAAATGGTGACCCTATATTTTCGCAATAAAAAAATTTTATTCAATGCTATTTAGTCTTATCGGCAGCGTTATTGTTACGAAAAATTGAGCAGTGAGACATTTAATTCGCTTGCTATGGTCTTGGACTCTAAGCCAAAGAACGCTCAAATGTACTAAATACCCATTTGCGGCGACAGGCATATTTTGACACGGAAAATTGTAAAACACCAAATCATATTTGCTTTATGGAAGTGAACAAAAATAAATACAATAACACAACTACAAATAAATCTATCAAAAAGGAATTTTGTCATTTATACGCCAGTAATTTGAACGAAAATTTACATAATCACTGCGATTTCAGCAAATGCAAATGAACGCGATTGCACAATTTGGAAAACGTCAACCCAGGCGAATACAACACCAATTATACGTGTATTTTCTTGTATTTTTATTTAAATAAAAGTATGCTAAAATTTGTTAAACAAAACAGTCATATATCATCGCCACAAGCGACATCGTTTAGCATCAAATTTTTAGCTGTCGTTATGACACTGCGCACACCGGTGGGTGCTGTCCAAATATTTGCATGCAATTGCATTGCCAGCATACCTGATTGTCATTTGGCAGAATTGCTAAGAAAAATTACTATGCTAACCTGAGTTACAATATTTCATACCGTTATTTGTAGTAGATATGTGTGTACATAAAAATGTATGATCATTTATTAGGACTGGCGAGTGGGCGTATGAAGGATTTGGCTTGGAATTGATTTTTGCTAATTTTATATTTTTTGTTTTGTTTTTTGTTGATTGGCCTGTGTTTGTAAAGCAAAATTGGCATTTTTTCTATTTATAATAGCTCTACGCATCTGTATGCAAGGACAGTTTATATGTAAGTATTTCTTTCCCCTAAAAAGTTCGTTTCTTAAGTCTTTTGTTGTGATTGTCAATTTCACAATTTTGCACTTTTTCATAGTCTATTGCCTGGCACATTGTTGTCGCTATCGTCATCAGACAGCTGGCTGCAATTTGCGCAAGCTCAGCTTTCAGTGGCCTTAAGGCGGCAAACTTTTTCCTCGAATTTTACTTTTGACTAAGGTTTTGCTTTAAATATTTTACTTAGTTGAAGTTAGCGGCCTGCCTTTATTTTCATATATTTTAGGTGGATTGCAAAGAATGCACTTTACCTGAAGTGATTAGTTAGAGCTCACATATCTTTTTTGCTTGTTATATATGTATAAACTCAAAATATTCACCACCAATATACATATGTACATACAAAGTTTCTAGTAAATCATCGGCACAGCCAAAACCGTTCTAAGTTTTCTACGACCATTATTAATATAAACGAAGAATGTTTAAGCAAAAAATATAACTGATTTCAATGCTCATATAAAGATTAGGGAGTACCGTTAATTTATCCATAGACCTCCCTCGAAAACGGTTCACGTGGTCCAAAGTTGCCAGTAACATACATAAAAGTAACAATAATAATACATAATCCGATTATTTGATAGCCTTTCTCGATATTTGAAAGCACTTGGCGATTCACAGATTCTGGTTCTGTCACGCAGATGGAGGAACCCGGGCCTACACTTTAACACCTCCGAACGGCATGTGATTTTTTATGAAAGGTTTTTTTATGGAGGTTTGCCATTGCCTTAGAAAAATATACATACCTATAAAAATAACTTAGTTTTTTTTTGTTAATCTTGAGTTTTCGAATACCGAGTAAACCGAATTTTTACAATCGAATAAACCGGGTTTCCCTCTAATTTATCTATAAATTCTAAATATTTGGTAGGCTAAATAAGCTAAATTAAAAAAAAATATTAAATATTAATGGAATGAACAAAAAATATATGTAAAAATATGTTATTTTTTATTAGTTTAGTAAATGGTATTGGTTGTTAGCTTTCGAAAGAAGAAATACAAAACCAGCTCATTTTTTTGCACTTTTTGAAGTAATGCGTTTTTTGCTAATGAATTTTTATTTTTCTTTCAGTGCCATGAGGTCTGCACGATTCGTTCTATATTCAAAAATAAAGTGTCAGATTAAAAAGCATGACCAGTGGACAAGAGAGGTTTATTTTTTTTTTTAAGAGTCTGGTTCGGGTTTTTCTTAAATTGAGAATGCGTCGCTGTTTTTTTTCAAATTGCCATATCTTAAATAACTCAAAAACCGGACGAATAATCGCTCAGCCTAGTAAGTACTTACATACATAAGAACCTTTGGTCGACTTCATTGCAAAAAGTCGAACGAGTATTAACAAAAAAAATTAAATTTTTAAATAGCAGAGTCATATTTCAACCAATTTTTAATTACGAGGGCATTATTCTTTTTGCATTGAAAAAATTCTAGTTCAACAACTTTCTATGGCACCTAGTCTACAAATTCTATAAATTTTTCTCGACTACAAAATTGACTACCAGCAGCATAAAAGGATATTGTAAATTAATGACTCGCTGCCTGCGGCTATCTTTTAAATCAAAATTTACCAATGCTGCAGCTGCGCATTTTAGGCAACAAAACCTGTTGCAATTTAATTTTTTTTTTTTGTTCAAAGTGTTGGCTGGAAATTTAAAGTGGAATTGAGAGCTGATGTTTATCAATAACAGGCAAGTCAATTTAGACTTCATTCTTGAATCGAAAGTATTTATACGCTTTTGGCAGCGATCATGCTAATCAAGAATGCAGATAAGACCAGTTACATGAAACGTAAATATGTATGTGTTATATTACCTCAAACGATCATGATATTTAAAAAATACAAGTAATTATTTAATATGCTGGACTTACTTGAATTATACACAGCCAAAGCCACAGTATAGCCAGTTGACGGAGAAATGCCTGAAATGAGCAAGAAATTTAATTTATAATCGTTTTAGTATACGTTTTTAATTTATTTCTATAAACACTTGTACTTCAAGCTGCGTGTGTGTGGTCTGTAATTCAATAGGCTAATTATTCTACTCTCCCCTCAATACAAGTACATAATTCTTCATTGAATATCCATTAGTTTCGCTAGTGATTATCACACCGCAGCAAATAAGTATGCGTGTACTTATGCCAAATTAACCACAGCTCTGTCTCACACTACCGAAATTGCGGCAAAGCAAAAAAAGAACAAAAATTATGTCAAGGTTATGCAAACAAACGAAATTAAAAGCAAAGCAAATCTCAAATGTCACACAAAACAAAGGGAAAAAACTTACGTAGCACAATCGACTTATGAGAAAAGCTAAAATTTAACAGTTTGACGCGTAGACAAAAGTTGCAGTCCCCAACTGTCTGTCTGCCGCACAATGGCCACAAGCCTCTCGTGCGTGAGTAATTTAGATCAAAAGTCACTTTTCATGCTCACTACAAAATGCGCAAAGTCACTAAAAAACTTACAAAAAAAAAACAAAAAACACAGAGCACTTAAAAAGCTTAAATGAAACGTCAAGTGCTCTAATAGCTAGTAAAAGTGTAATACTTAAGTAAATTAAGTAATAAAGCTGTAAAAAATCCCTTTGTTTATTTTCTAAGCTAGCCAAAAACAAAAAAAAATTAAAGAAATAAAAAAAAACAAATATATGGTATAATCACCCGCGGTTTGTACTGGTTTCTACTTATATAAATTTGTATGTAGCTACATATATTTTTTAAACAAATGTGACCAAATACTTAATCTGAAGTGTGTAACAGTTGTACGCTTGCAAAGTAGGTACTTAAGGGCATTATGTTTTGTTTATACTTTAAAATAGTTGCTATAATAGCTTTGTAGTACTAATTAAAATATCAAATGAAATATTGATTGTTAAGTATTTAATAAAAAGTTAAAGTATTTAAGAAACGTGTGCTCTAAGTTCACAAATCTTTTTTTCAAATTTTTTCTTCATCGTTTGATAAAATATCAAGTATAAAGACTAATAAATTCATTAAATTATTTTTGGTTAACAAAGCCTATACGTAGCTAAGCTTTACATCGCAAGTCATGTTTGTATTACTTAAATATAAAACAGAGATAAATTATAAACCTGTGGCGTTTTCTTTTCTATTGAAAAATTTGACCTTCTTATATTGTAGAATTTGCACTTGGCTAATTTGAAAAATAAAAATCATTGTAAATTAAAATAGAACGTACGAACACAAATACATGAGAATAGTTAAAATTGTTTTACAACGATTACAACTTGTTGATTTTTTTGGCTAAAATTTAAAAAATAAGGATTATTTTCCGGCCCTGTTTTTAAATTATCTGCAAGAAATTTTTTTTGAAAAATACATACATATACATACGGGTTGCTTGAAAATATCCCCTTTTCCCTTAACTTAACCTTTTAGTGTGGTCAACAATTATGTTTTCTATTTTATCAAGGCAGATTCGAATATGCGCTCTCTCGGAAGAAAATAAATATTTAATTTAATGTAATATTTGTTCCAAACTCAAACGCGTTTTAAGCAATCAGTGAAACAATTCATTATTTTCAAAGTTTTGCGATTAAAACTTCGTACTGTAATTTAAGACATTCTATGAAAAAAATATATGCGCTTAGAACAAATATAATCGAAATCGGGCCAGTATTTTAAGACTTTTCGGATTAGAAAAAATTTTCCTTCAATTTTGTACAACACAGTCAGACATGAAAGTTAGAGAATTTCGTAAATAAGGGAAACAAGTTGGCTAAAATCGCTTAATTACAGCGCCAAACAAGAAGCAGATATTGTTGCACTTTTCGAAGGAAGTAAATTTCCTTTAAAAATGTTTCTATTAATTTCATCCCACACAGTTGTATCAACAACAAACAGTTTTACTACAACTTTGCACCGAGCGGGG